CTTCCAACCCGTTCTGCCTCTAGAAATAAGTTACTTTCCCCCCTCTCCTTTCCTCCTGCTTCACAGCAGGTGCTTTCATGTCCGCAGGTGCTTTTATTTTTTTCTGTCAGGCTGTCAGAGCGCTACTCCTCCTCTGTCCGGTGCTGGTGTGGGGTGAAAATCCTCCACCTCAGACGTTCAGAGATGTAACTGTCTGTGATACTGTGGTCACTTTCCATGTAGCATTAATTATGCTAATGGTAGCTGCCTGTCACGTTCTCTCGTTCTGGCCACACCTCCGCTCTCTAACCCCCCTTCCCCACCCACACCCCCTCCCCTACCCACTTTGATGCATTTTTCAAATTTCGCCTTGGGGCGGAGTTATCTTTTCACAGGGGGGATAAGTTACACTTTAAAAAGTCTTAAAAGATACTGTAATGAATTCATCAATCCAAAAAATAAGGCCTTAATAAGCCTCAAAATGTCTTCAATCAATACTTCGGAGGTCTTAAAAATGTTAAAATATTTTAAGTAGGATGATTGTAATTCATCTCAACTGTTTAAAAATATTGGTAGCATTTTTTTTAAATAACTTACCGAATACCTCGTGCAGCTTGWTTTGTGCTAAATTAAACATTTGGGTGAAATTGTCGCTAACTGTTTTTCTTGTGAATTTGGTCTTAAAATTCATTTCAAGTAACATTAAAGAAATCTTAAAATGTCTTCAATTGAACTTGTCTTAAACTGTAGGAACCCTGGATTAGCTCTTAGTGCTTCTGTCCAGGTGAGATTACTGTGATGACCTACTTTCTCTGAGGAATTTAAAGAACAGTTTAAAAAAAAAGATTAATATTGATTAATATGACACTATTTACACCTGTTTTAACACTGATTTGTAATTTAAAGCTGTAATTGAAATCTTTTTGTCTTTTTACCTGTTGGGAAGACAAGAAAGGGATATAATATGTGGGGTTATCACAGATGATCCCAACTCAACATCCTATGTGAACTGAACTCACTTTCATTAACGTTGTTATATTTTGAATACCAACATTATGTTGTGACTAAAAATAGCCGAAGGCTGCAGAGTAATGTGGTTAAGAGTTCAGCTGCTGAATAACAGCATGTTGTTTCCCCTCACGCTGCTCCAGATGCTCTGTAAGGAAAGATCTTTCATTGTAGAGAAACACAACAAGGTAGATGTTCGCCGTGCACACCTTCAGCCAGTGCATGTTGTACCATTGTTTTTTTATGCAAGTTTTAGATTTTATAACTGCATAAAAAGACTGTTGTAGGTTAAAAATGGTAAGAAGTAAATCTGAGGAGTGAGTTGATATTCTGAGAATAAAATGAGAAAGAATTWGAGTCAGATGAGGAAAAATAAAAATTAATCTGGTGATTTGGTTCCAAAATCCTAATTCCTCATTACTATATATTATATTGTTGGTGAGTAAATACTATCAAATGCAGCAGATTATAACTTGATTAAATGATTTATTGAATAAATAACACTTTAATGTGTTTGATCCAACTAAGTTCCCAGAGCAAAACAATAATAATGTTTCTCCTGTTAAATTTATGCTTTTAATGTTGAGAATTGGAAGGTTTTTTTTTTCTCAGACGATCCCACTCCTCGCTCAGTTTTTACTCTTTCATATAAAAGAATAATTTTATTTTTACATCAGTTGCCATGCACAGCTTGGCATGATCAGCCTGTTCTGTTTTTAGTGCCACAGTATTTATGCAGCCATTGTTGTTAGTTGCACTGCAGAATGCTTCAACAGTGAAACGTTTCAGGTCTTTATTCAAAAACTGCACATCTTTGCTCTGATTTTGTTCCATTTTAAAGATTATGTAAGTTTTTTTATCAAAACATTACTTAACATTAGTTTTAAGATTTATTGCACTGCTTTATTCCTGCCCCCATTTAAGCAGCAATGTTGGATTTGAATTAGGGATGCACCGATATGAAAATTTCATCCGATATTGATATTCAATATAATTATTGCTGTTATGGTCGATAATTGATATTTACTGATATTACACAAACACACAAATTATTTATATACATATACACACAACCACACTTGTGTCTTTTTTCGATACCATAAATATATGATCAGACCTCTGACATGGCTCTACTTCATTATTCCTGGCTGTGCAGCATCAGCATCACTATCACGATCAAACAGATACCACTCGACCAAACATTTTGCCTCCCAAAACAGAAACTAAAGCTAAAAATGGGAAATCAAYATAGGACGTAAATATCKGCCCAATTTYACATATCGGGCCGATACGATATTCTAAAAAATGACCAATATTGGCCGATGCCGATATTARTGCCGATATATTGTGCRTCTCTAATTTGAATCATATTTTTTGTTTTGCTTTTTAAATGATGGTGGGTTGTTTTTAAATGTGCTTTATGGTCCATTTTGCTGCACTCATCTTATAACTGAGCTATAACATTCAACACCCTTCTTTCTACAGAGACAGAATGTAACCTATTTAAAGTTTTATGGTGTTTATTGTGATGAAGAGTAAATGGTAAATGGACTGTACTTATATRGCGCCTTTCTGTCCATCCAGGACACTCAAAGCTCTTCACACTACAATCTGTGCCCTCATTTACCCATTCACACAGCACTTTATTAGGTCTCTACAAAGCTAACAATCAATCTATGGAGACTTATCAGTGCCAATCACATTCATACACTGATGGGACACACATCAGAGGATTTTCATGCATCAACATTAGGGGTGTACTGATTGCAGTTTTCTGGCCAATCATCGATCTTTAAAAACCTGTCCTTTCCGATCTTGGTCAATACCGATTTTTTTTTAAATAGCTGACATTGTTGGGTCTTATAAGGTCACAATACACCTTCAGTGTTCCACTCTTGTTTTTTTGGAAAAAAAAACTGAACAATACCCTTGAAACATTACAAACTTGTTTGATCTGGACATTAGGTAGTGCTCACAGCGRAGCAAAAGTAGACAGTGGCTGATTTTCAGACTTTTGTGGAGTTAGAGAAGCCGATCTTTTCCACCGATCTTATCGAAGAATCGGCCAATCTTCGATCTCCCAAAATTAAGGAAAGTGGTGCAGATAAATCTGCCAGCCGACCTGTGATCAACATAATACTGCAGAGGTTGACTTGGCGACTGTGCTGTCTCCTCACAGCATTTGTTGATGGCGAAGGATGCAGACAACGAATCTCTGAGGAGGTACAGTTGGACTGCAGATGCCCTGGATAAYGTCAACCTCGTCTCCTCACCCATCCACTCTGGGTAAGTCTGTTTTGAAAGGATTAGCGAAAAAGACGAGAAGAAAGGGATGGAAGTTTGTATTTTCTGTCTTTCTGATGTTATTTCTCTTTTTTTCCTCTTAAACAAACTGCAAGTCTCAAGTTTTTACACTGAATCTGCTAATAAACTTGACTTCCCTTATTTCCATATTTAATGTCTCAGACCATGACACACTTGGCTCATGTTTCTCTTTCCTTAAATGTTAAAATCTTTGGTTCAGCGTTGGATAAACCACCTGGGATCAGATATCTGCAGGCACGAAGGAGCTGGAGCTGAAAACTACAGTCCAGTTAAAGCAGGGGTGTCCGATCCTGGTCCACGGGGGCCATCATCCTGCCTGTTTTAGAGGTTTCTCTGTTCCAGCACACCAGCAGGAAAACCAATAAAACTTGCAGGATAGTGGCCCTTGAGGACCAGGAATCTACACCCCTTAGCTAAAGGCTCCTTCTTTGGTGTACCATAAACTTAACTTTAGCCTCTTTAGTGTTCAGGTTCTGACRATGAAGAAAGTCCACAAAGAGTTTGATGCTGGTCTCGGTAGTTTGTTCTGTTTTTGACCTGTTCCTCCTGCGTTGCAGTATTTCCTCTCCGCTCCCGCAGTATGACAGCAGGTGATTTGACTGTGATTGGTTGCCCCCTTTTTTTTATCAACACCATCACATCCCTTCTCCCCTGTTCACACATAACATCTGTGTTTGCTCCTCTCACTCACCAACTGATGCTACACACGTGACACAAAYAGGGATGCACCGATCCACTTTCTTCACTTCCGTCACACAGATGTAACTGAATTCCAAATTTATTTAATTCCTGTGCACCAGTAACCTACAGCAATCTTAAATAAACCAATAGTTTCACAAGCTTGGTGAAGCTTGTAGAAAGTAACACAACTTTACCTCATTCAGTCAGTGCAGTTAAGAGTATAACACCCAATGTAAAATAAATGATAAAACAACTGAAACTGAGGAATAAAAACAATAGCTTGACTTACCTCAAACGTTTCAGTCAGTGCAATTAATAATTCTAAATATAATTTAAAACATYACTTTGATGTATTTTATCTCCTCTAATATGTGTTTGCACACTGTACCATGCAGTTCAGGTTTTGCCATCCAACAAATATTTTCAGTTTATTATGTTATAGTGTGACCCCAGATGGTTAGGTAGAGTAAAAAAGTTCTAGATGTCRGATTCTTTCGCTCGCTCCATTTTGAAATTAACATGAACCCCTGCACTGTGTCACCAGCGCATGACGTCACTGTCAGACCTCGGCATAGAATTAGCCTGAATAAATCTGCTCCTATGGATCAGGTTCATGGTCACTGCTAACCAATCTAGAAATTTTTTCATAAGGAGACCGATACCTGTATTCATATCGGATCGGTGCATCTCTAGACACAAAACACTTGTTGCTATGTGTTTGTTTCTCTTTGTTTCAACTCTCTAACTGATCTACAATAAATACCTTTGTTGGATTAAAGTTAGACTTACACTTTGATTGTTTACCTTTTAAGATTTTTTGCTGTAGATCCAATAGACTCAATTCAGTATGATATGATTTTTTTTTTTGCATCTCAGGTTGTATTTTTATCAAATTTTAAAACTTGGCGAGGACCAGATGACGTTCTACTTTGTCCTGAAATGTAAAATCTTAGAATTGAGGAGAAAATGGTGTTATTGTCTTATCAGATGTTTCTGACAGTCACATGTTGAAATATTTTATGACTACTGTTCTGTGACCATTTTACCCCTATTTTTCCAATAACAACATCCAGTACAAACTAATCTGTCATTTCAGGTATCATGTTGCATGGTGTGGATCTGTGTGTGTGTGAATTATAATTTCCTCCTTTGACTGAAGTGAGTTACAGAAAAATGTATCTAAACTTCTGTGGGTAAAACACAAAGTAAAGGCTCCTGTGTTGGCATCTTTACCAGATTATTTTATAAATTTTACTGTTTTTTTTGTTTGTTTGTTTGTTTTGTTTTAGCCAGTGCCGTTTGCTTCTTTCAACAAACTTTATTTAATCACATTTTTAGCCAACGCAGAATCCTGCTCACCTTTTTGTTTTCTCTTTATGCTCACACGTACTTGTCGGTGTTTTTTCAAAATCACAGCATGGGAAGCGACCTCACCTTAACGAAAACTCCTCTCTTCATCAGTACTACAGCTAAACCAACATGTTTTACTTCCTATTTCATTCCTGTTTCTGTATTCTTTCCTGATCTCCCATTTTTACATCACTTCTTTTTTTCTATTTCTTCTCCATCAGGTTCCTGGTCAGCTTCATGGTCGATGCCAGAGGGGGGTCCATGAGAGGAAGTCGTCACAACGGCATGCGCATCATCATCCCACCTAGAAAGTGCACAGCGCCCACTAGGATCACCTGTCGGCTGGTGAAGAGGCACAAACTGGCATCCCCTCCTCCGATGGTGGAAGGAGAAGGCCTGGCGAGCAGATTGGTGGAGGTCGGTCCAGCGGGAGCTCAATTTCTTGGGTAAGACTTTAACATCTGTGAACTTAACTAATACTGTTTGTGCTTTTTGCTTTTTTTGTTCAAATCTTCTGTTTGCCTCTTGCCATCACCATTTCCAACCATCTATTTTTTAATGTAAGGGTGAATGTGTGTGGATGTGGAATACATAGTTTATTTTAAGTGAGCTCATCTTTCAAACTCATCATTTCCTTTGGCATAATAAAATCAACAATACTAAAATGTGTCAACTTGTATAATGTTGGACAAATTTGTTCTCATATTTTATTTTTAATTTTGCCATTTTTAGTCATTTCAACATCTGAATGATCAATTGGGTTGAAAATGTTTGGATTTGTTCTAATTGTTCATTCACATAGCAAGAAAACAAAGTTACTCAGTGATGAAGAACTGTCAAACAGCTAACTAAGCTAGCCTGAATGCGCTGAAAGAGATGTATTTTAGTTTATCACGATTATGTATAGTTGACTGTGGTAGCATGGTGTGGGCGGAGCCCCGAGCATGGCTCAACCACTTCAGCTCAGACAGCCATGATGTCATTGGAGCTTCCATAGTTGGTCATGCCAAAATGGTTCCCATCATAAGACACCTCACTCTGTTATCAAAGAACCAGGGCTTTTAAGTAACCAAATGTTTTTGAAACGTCTTCAAGAAAAAGAGTATTAGAGAAGAGACTCTTCCTCTTTTCAAACTGCCAGTCAGTAACAAAAAWAATTTCAAATGTAATGGGTACATTTTGAGCAGTAAATGTAATTTGTGAAAGCTTTTGCTAGGTTTAGATCCTCAGAAAATGTTTTAGTCCACATTCATTTCATCTCAGGCAATTGTATAGTGTATTACTGTAGTGAAGCTGAGAGTAGACTAAAGTTTGTATAATCAGAAGTTAAGTTAAACTTGAACATCTAATCTGAKATTACAAGGAAAGGATATTCCTTGACTCCTAACAGCATTGGTGATAAACTGCTAAAATTGGGATCAATTAAAACTTAAGGATAAGACTGTTGGAAAGACAAGTTGTRAAATTAGCTAGGCTGCTGAGGTCCATGGCTTTCTATATGTAGACTTGAGTTTCATCAGCATAGAATATACACCACTGAGCTGAATAAGCCAAGTAGAAACATATTAAAGAAATCAGACTGGGGCTAAGTACTAATCCCTGTGGTACACCACAACTAAATGTACCTCATACAACTCTAGGAAGYTTTTACTGTTATTGTGTGTGTTTTGTATAAATGTGTGTTTCATTGTCTTGTGGACACAGTAAACTACATCTTCCCAGAAAGCTGCCAGCCCTTAATGAAGGCGAGAGCTTGGTTAGTCCCGTGCTACAGCTGGGACCCAGAGGAACTAAATTTGTTGGGTAGGAACCAARCATACAGTAGCTCCTCCTCCCCTCAGCCCCTCCTGCTGTACCTCCCACCCACCCCAGGGAAACAGCATGGCCAAGGCTGATTCATGCTGATGGATTCTTTTGCCCATCTCTGTGGAGTTTAATTTTCAGGATCCAGCTTTKATATAATTGCTTGGTAGTTTTGGGAAGAAAACTGTCTCCAAAGAGGATCCACCASAAAGAAGTAGATGTATTATAGCTTCAGTAACATTACATGGAAGGACTTCATGATGAAGTTAAATTCTTCCTAAAACTATGTATGGTAGCTTGAAATCCATTGACTTCATTGTATTTTTGATTTTGGAAGCACAGTAGAATGTAAACGTTTTGACTGGCTGTATGGTCTRGACTGCGCTTGTTGAGCATGAGCAGTTTCCTTATTTAGCCGAGCATCATCCTGCTTTTTTATGACTGCTGTGTTCATATTCAAGATCGGTTTTGTGTCATCTCACAGTATTTATTTTAATRCTTTCCAGACAAAGTGTGCATGAATCAGATTGAATTCATAACGATGTCTGTCAGCAAACAGACAAACTGATAATTAACCACAAATTTAATTAGGATTTAGTTCATTTTGACCCTCCAATAAAAAAGTATGGATCACCTGGGACCACCAAAAATCACAGTTAACCCCTATTTACTTTTTATGCTACAGTTTGAGTCTGAGGTTACTGTGTTCATCCTTTTTTTTTTTCAAAGATAAAGGTCTCTGCAAAACATGAGTGGGCGTGCCTCAACAAAGGTTGCTATTGTCTGATTGGGTTAAGCTCAGTTTAGATTCAGCAACAGGAAGGCTTTAATTAAAAACTGTTTGGCACTGGCCAGGTCCTAAAAATATCATCAAGGTTTTGGAAAAGAACCATTTACCTTACGTTTCCTTCAGGTGCTGGTTTYAATCAATCAGTCTAGAACGACACCATCAACCAGTCGCTTTTATTGAAGCTTGATAAAAGAACCTTAACTGTCATTTTTTGCTTTGTTTTGAAAAATACACACTAGTTTAGATGCAGTAACATTGAGATACAAGRAGTTCTACTCTAGCCTCTTTTGAAGATGAAACTGTTTGATCCAAACCAATGTGATCAGTTAGTTCATTTGAAAACTTTTATTGTTGAGGAATGCYCGTTTTGTTGAGGAACGTCCTTGTGTTCTTCAGAGATTCTTCTTTTGTGTTGTTGTCATGTCTTGTTTAAGGGCTGTGCAGCTTTTTGTTGCCACCTTTCCCATTCACTGCATCTCATTCATTACATTCAGCTCCTCAGGTTCACAGTTGCAGCTGTTATTGTTGAATATTGTCATCAGCAGAACCACACGTCTTTACATTGTTGATATCAGCATCAACATCTGTTTTTAATTTATGGCAGCTCAGTTTAGATTCATTCAAGTTTTAGTGTAGCTGAAAATTTCCTTTTTTTTAGTTGATGTGCTTAAAGATATTTCATTGTTTGTATTTGAGATTTAATTTTCCACAAGTTTGGKTTCTCATCACCTTCATACATCGCTTTAAAGGAGAGAAAATACGATCTCCTCCATCCACTCAAAGCAGATTTTAGAGACAAAAAGTGAATTAACGTTTTGATTTTGCTATTGTTTGGTTTTACTTGCTTGTTTATTTAATTCAAAGGCAAATGTATACTTAAAACTTTATTAATTTGATTATGTTCCTGACGTGTACCCTACCAGGCCCGTAATAGTGGAGATCCCACATTTTGGCTCCATGCGAGGCCAGGAGAGAGAGCTGATCCTGCTGCGCAGTGAGAATGGAGAAACCTGGAAGGAGCACGTCTACGACTGCAGGACTGAAGACCTCAACAAGCTCCTGAATGGGATGGATGAAGGTGAAGCACACGTTATCTATGTAGTCATCGTACCAGGCATCACTCTGCAGAGCGTTCACACCTAAACCGACTTTAAGATTGCATGAATTGAAGAGAGCAAGCACATTGTGTCTCATGTTTACCATGTTATTAATATGTCGTCTACCTGCTACAACATAAACACTTCACTGTAGAACTGGACAGTCCTGAGGAGCTCGAGAAGAAAAGAGTCTGCCGCATCATCACGAAAGACTTCCCACAGTACTTTGCCGTGGTGTCTCGGATCAGACAGGAGACCCATCAGATGGGACCAGAGGGTGGGACTCTGTGCAGCYGGAGCGTGCCATTGGTTCAGGCTTCCTTCCCTGAGGGGGCGCTGACCAAGAAAATCAAGGTTGGGTTGCAGGTGAGTTTGAGATTTATAAATCTGTACTTTTAAATGCACAATGAATTGTATGTGTACAGTAGATTCACAAACCTCTTAAACACTGAATCTTTTTTTTTTTTTTTTCAATTTTTCCAGGCCCAGCCAATTCCTGAAGACACTGTGCAGAAGCTTGTCGGTAACAGAGCAACTTTCAGTCCCATTGTGACCGTGGAGCCTAGAAGGAGGAAGTTTCACAAGCCCATCACCATGACGATCCCAGTCCCACCCCGTTCAGGGGACGGGCTTACAAATGGTTACAAAGGTGACAATACCCCCTGCCTTCGCCTCCTCTGCAGCATCACAGGTGGGTGGATGGATGTTGTACCGCTGCATTTGTGAGGGTTTGGGTAGAGATGCATCGAGTGATCGGCCTGAAACCGTTATCGACCGGTTTCCACCTTAATTGGCTCAAATACATTAAAAAAACAATTGTTTACCTATTTTTTAAACGTTCAGTTATAAGAAATCTGATATTTTAAGACAGCAAAAAATCGTGAGTGTATATGACTTCGTTTGATTAGTTTGTTTAGTTCACTGAAAGAAATTCAGTACAAATGAAAATGTCTTTATTTTCTCAGCCGTCCAGGTCCTTGGTGTCTTTTGGAAATTGTTGCTCCATGATTTGTCCTAAAATTTAGATTACAAACAATGAATTGTGAAATAATACATTTTCTGTGTGCGTTAGGTGGTACATCCCCTGCGCAGTGGGAGGACATCACTGGCACAACTCCACTCACGTTTGTCAACGACTGTGTCTCTTTCACCACTAATGTCTCCGCCAGGTGAGACACAACAACTTCACTGTCTTTATATTTACACATTCACTAGACTTGTTCCTGTGTCTGAAATAAACGTCTTTGTTTGTTTGTGACTCAGGTTCTGGTTAGCGGACTGTCACCAGATCCCAGAGACGGTGAGCCTAGCCACGCAGCTCTATAGGGAGCTGATCTGCGTTCCCTACATGGCCAAGTTTGTTGTGTTCGCTAAGATGAACGACCCAGTAGAGTCCAGTCTGAGGTGCTTCTGCATGACGGACGACAAGGTKGACAAAACCTTGGAGCAGCAGGAGAACTTTGAGGAGGTGGCWAGGAGCAAAGACATAGAGGTACTCAGCCGTATTGTTTGGGATTCATTTACCTTTAATACCTGTWCTTTTCTGATTTCATGTTATTACTTAGACATGTCTTGTCATTAAAATGACTTTCATGTGATAATCAAAGATTTTATCTTTTATTAGTTTCTACTTTTTTGGAGGTTACTAATGACTTGTTACTTAAAATAATGCTAACATTGAAACTACTACGATGAGCACTGTAATAGYATGAGTAGTTTTGATAACTTATCATGTCTGACAATCATTTACCAGATCATAAGGTGGGGTAAAATCATATTTTCAGCAATTAATTGTCAGAAAAACTTTCGCACTTTACGAACTTACCGTATTTATTCAAGTATAATACGTAAAATTTCATCCATAAAATCATGCACAAAGTTGTGGGGTAGGACTATACTCGAATAAATATTTTTGTTGATGTATTTTAAGTGAAATATTGGCCTCATTCACAAAATCCCAGAGTCCGGAAATGAAACCACATCGTAAAAAGCGGTTGAAGCGATTTTACCTCTAACACTCCTTTGTGCCTCTGAGTGAGATAGTAGCAGATCCAAGCAGGCAACATGATGTGAAAAAAAAAAGAAAAAAATGC